ACCGTAACATAACGCAACGCAATGCAATTCGGCCTACCTCAGCCTTGGCGCGGGTTTTGCTTTATTAAATTCCTGACACACGAGAGACGCCCGGGCACGTGCAAATATTCGCTCGATGAGGCGAGCAATTCGGAATGCTTGTTCTCGCGATGAATGCACTGAATTCGCATCTAGCACCCTCCCCCCGAATTGCGAGAGAAGCGACTTGCAAAAAAGCTGCGCCGAGTTGTTCGGCGGAAACATTTCCAGCTGTTGTTTCCTCCTCTTTCATTGTTTTACCCGATGTGATCCGCCGAAACACAACGTCATAATTCCGGTAGAAATCTCTGCGTACAGATAATATCTCGAGTTACAGCGTTAAATATGTTTGAGAGTCAAAAAAAAACTGTAATCTTTACTCCTTCGAATATATGACAAAAAGTGAGATTATTATCAAAAAATTACAGGAAAAGATATGTACGTGTATTTACAAAAAACTAGAGGTTTAATTATCAAAGCGGCGCTTTATTATAACCGCGATTTAAAATATCTCTTTCAGAAACAAATACGTCATTTTTTCCTGAACCAGTTTTTAGAAATAAAAATAGAGAGTTTCGAAATTTCAAAATTAGATTTGTTATATATAAAAAGAAAACTGATAATAATCTCCGATTTTGTGAAAAAAAACTTTAGGAAGTGAAATGGCCAACGAGTGATTTCAGGCTCTCATTGGCCATTTCATCTCCTAAAGTTTTTTTTTACAAAATCGGAGATTATTATCAGTTTTTTTATATATAACAAATCTAATTTTGAATGAGAATGTAAGGCCGATACGAGCCGTTCACAGGATGTTGAGCGGAACTTGTACGTGTATACATATATATGTATACACCTATGACAAGTTCACTTGTAAATTTTTTTTTTTTTTTTTTTTTTTTTGTAATAGGTGTATACATATATATGTATACACGTACAAGTTCCGCTCAACATCCTGTGAACGGCTCGTATCGGCCTTACATTCTCTCATTGAAACTTTCACGATCCTTTAAATATTATTCTAATTTTGAAATTTCGAAACTCTCTATTTTTATTTCTAAAACTTCAGGTTCAGGAAAAAATGACGTGTTGTTTCTGAAAGAGATATTTTGAATCGCGGTTATAATAAAGCGCCGCTTTGATAATAAAACCTCTAGTTTTTTGTAAATACACGTACATATCTTTTTCTGTAATTTTTTCTTGAAAGAACGGCACGCGCAAAGGGTTTCTACTTGCAACAATAATTAGACCAGAATAAGAAGAAGAGATTTATACCAGAGAGATACACCGCATCAAAACGTTTCGAAATAAAAAATCTAATTGGTAACGCAAAAGACTCGCGTGCTTTTATTTCGCAACGTGCACAGGTCACACGACCCGCGTGACACATCTTTTCAGAAAACATTTTCATTCTCTCCGAGTCGCGAGAACATTAGACCGCGTTCAAATAAGAGAGCATCCCTTTAACGTCGGCGCGCTATGTTTAAGAGCGCCAAAAACTCGTGTGTGTAAGCGACAGACAATTGCAAGAGATCGACTACGTAGAGAAACGGCAATGCGACTTTAAGACCACACGAAGTCTAACGCACACGTCTCACCACGCTAGTCGAGCGAGCCGGGACCCTTTCACAATGGCTGACTTCCTAAGGCAAAAATCAGAAAGTTACAGCCCCAACCATACGTTTTTCGCTGCAAGAGCAGAGAGAAAGAGAAAGAGACGATCGAGCGAGTTCCCGAGGGATGCGCAGCTGTCATGAGGAGTGCAACGATTGGCCGCCACTATCGGTCGGCCATACTGAATTTTTCCGGTCTGGCTTCTTCTCACAATTGTATCACGGACCCTGAAACAGGGTCAGTAGCTTCGTCGGAAATCGGGGTCGCCCAATAAGATCTCATGACGCGCTTCTGTGCGCGTCTCTCTTGTTCATTGTTCCGCTGACAACATCGCTCGTCAACTCAATAAAATTGGTCGGATCAATGTCGAGTCAACGTTCGTGTAGATTTATCTCTTAATAAAAACAAGAATTCGAAACTGAGAAATGCTCGCTCCGTTTATAACGAGAGACTAACATTTTATTCTTTCTTTTTTTTTTTACTTAGTATCTTAAAAATACTCGAAATCTTTTTAAATAATAATAAACAAAATTAATAAACCTGCATACGCCCAGGTATGAAAATCTCTCTGTCGCGTTTTGGACGCGACGTCCCCTTGACTGCTGTTACCGACACGAGAAATAATTTCGCGCGGGACGATCGTCGTGTGCGTGTCGATTTAGAATAAACAGAACTGCGAGCGTGCGTCTCTATTATTGAAATAAATCCTGTCATAATCATCACCGCCAACTTTTTGTATAGAGAATCTCGAGTAAGCAGTAGTAGAGAAAGTAGTTGAGAGGCGGTGAGGGAGAAAAGAGAGAGAGAGAGAGAGAGAGAGGGTTAACGGGGACACTACGATTGCGCTGGCCGCGTGCCGCCACCCTAAGGATTAAGCGCAATTATTGAAATCACTTCAGCAGACCGCAACCCGTTTCACACGCTATTTACAAGCCCTTTCCGAATTGTTACGAGAGTTTACTCCGTTCGTGAAAAATTTTGCAAATTTTTTAAGAGAACCGATTTTCTTCTTTCGTAATTAATTATGCATAAAAATAAGAGATCGTAAGGAGATTTGCATGCAAGGAGAAACGCGACTTAACAAGCTGCAATAAAACATCTAACGCATGGAGAAACGTTAATCGTAAATTCACAACGCTGCACCTTTCTCTTTTCTTTGTTCCTTCCGCAAAATAAACGTGTCACTCCCGAGATCGTGGTTGCAAAATCCATTGAAGAAAAACGCAGCACGTTTTCCAGCACGCTAGAATATACGACCGCGTTAGTATCTCGTAAGTAGCCGCGCAAATGTTGCGAGCTACGCAAAAGTCCGTTCCATAATCCACAAATGAATTGCTGGGTGTTGCATTTTTTCCGACCGTGTAAAACATGCAATGGCTTTTTCTTCGTCACAATTCGCTGACGTTCACGCGTGCGCGTAAGTGAACAGTGTAATTAAATACTCCAACCTTGTTTAAAAAAAAAAAAAAAAAAACAGAAGTTTTCTTCTATATAATTTACGGCCAATATATTCGAGATCCATTCTTTTTTTAATCATTAAATTCAGCCGTATACCGTTTTATTTCGCTAATAATAATCGCCAACGATGTTTTCTGGATGCGAGCGGATTCCACGTGCGCGCGGGTTGCACGTGGTGTCACAGTCTAACCGCTCGTCACATACGTCACCCCTTTTGGATGAGGCTTGGGTTGGTTTTTGGCTTGCTATAACTCCGATAATTATGTTACCAATGCGTCGAAGGACAAAGAGCTCTCGAGCGACGTTGGATAGTTCGCCTGTTCGCGAGCGAGAGCTAGAAGAGAGATGGTTGCTTGGTAGCCCAGCTGCCGGTAATCCTCCCTTTGTAATTTGCCTCTATGACCCCCCTCCCTCTAACAGTGGCGTCGCTTTTTTCGCAGATCTTTCTAAAAGCGTGTTTTTTTTTTTTTTTCTGAAAGTCGTCTTTCGTGAGCCCGCTTCTATATTTTTTTTCGCGCAAATTTATTTTAATTGTAAAAATGAAAAATCGCTTTGATGAGAAGAGAATGAATGTAATCTAGAACACACAAAATATATGAAAGTGTTGCGCATACTAAAGATTACTAATTAAACTCTATCGCTTAAACTAATTACATTTACCTAAAGAACAAACTAAAATTAAATTTAAAAAATGTCAAAAGAGGAATTGAAAATAGATTATTGATATTTTACTAGTTTTATAAAAATAAAAAAAAAATCCATCTTTTATGAGTAAAGAAAAAACCAAGTAGTCTACGCCAATGGGGAGCGGTTGATGTCACCGTGGCCGTGCCCTCCGGATAATAGAGTCCGCGACTTTAATGGACTCGCTAATCCTCTTCCCTGTTTGTCGGCGAGGGGGTACGCATTCACGGGATGCGCGGAGGTAAAAATCGACGCGTGAGAGGAGGCAGGGGCGAGGTGGTGTGACTGCGGTACGTGCGCCTATCTGGGGTAAACTGCATTCGTTCGTGCGGCCCATCATGAGGAAGGGGGTGACACGCAAGGGGGTGATCTTTCTCCGGCCTGTGTCCCGCGCTAAAGCGATGACGTGCAGATACGCCCCTTATGCGGAACCATCGGTGCGATGATACCCTTAGATTTCTCGGCTGAGCTATGCCACGGTTATTTATGCATACACTTTAAATGCACGTTTCTCGAAAAAGACAACGTAATGTTCTGAGAAGAAGTGATCATTTAAAATAATAATAAATGACTTAATATATAATAATATATAATAATATATAATAATAAAATTTAATAATATATAATTTTATATTATTATTATATTATTTTATTATATATTAAATTAAATTTTATTATTATATATTTAATAATATATAATAATAAAATTTAATTTAATATATAATAATATATAATAATAAAATTTAACAAAACCGGCTCGAGGAAACAAAAATAAGATTATCAAAATATATAAAAACCAAGAAGCCGCAGGACGAGGTTGACAGTTGAAATAAATCGTGTAAAGTGTATTCTCTGTGGACCGTTTCGATCTTTAATTGTAAAATAAAAGTATTTAAAATTGTAAAAATAAAATTGACTTAATATATGTTTTGTAAATAACTTGTACAATTTTTAGTCAAGAACATTAGATATGTGTGCAAAAAAAAATTTCTTCAAATGAAATTTATTTATATATAAACTGCTTTTCTTTTTCAATACAAAACGCATGTTTCGACAGTTCAAATCAATGTGAAATTTTCATTCGGTGTGATTTATTTGTATGCAACAATGAAACGAAATGAAAATGTGATGATGATGTGTCGATAATTATCAATAAAATAATAAATTTAATTTCTTTACAGAAAAAACAATAATGTTTGTAAAATTACAAGTACAACAATGTCTTTTATTTAAAAAAAAAAAACAATTATATAAAAAAAAGTTTCTTTTCTATATTTGTTATTAGCGAAAAATAAAAATGTATTTCGAATTCACCAAGTACAAAATCTGATGAGTAATAAATGCAATGGATGAGATGAAAAACATTTGTGTGATTGAGATGAGATTACAATCTATGATCATCCGAAAGTGCGCAATGATGAATACAGTATTGATATCGATATGGTCGATTGGATGCTGCAACTCGGGGGATGATCAATTATCCCTGATGCTGTTGTTGCCCTCGAATCGGAACTGTAGCCGGATGTGCCAAATTCGACTGAATTTGCAGAAGCTGCTGAAGCTGCGGCGGCAGATTATTTGAGTATTGATAATTAGACTCAGCGGGTTGTTGCCGCTGCGCTTGTGGCGAAGGCGCGTAATTCGTGCGATATTGCGGATTGTATTGCGGCTGAGCGGCAGGCTGCGAATTGTATTGTTGTCGAGCGGAAGGCGGCGGAGCGTACTGAGCCGGTCTTACGGGAATTTGCTTGTAAGTCGGCTGCTGAGGCGCCTGGCCGACCTGAACTTTCGGCTGATATGAGGACAACTGATTTTGATTTATGTACTGAGGCTCGATGGGTCTGGAAGGTCCCAGATTCGGAACTGGTTGCGGCGGGAGATGAACGATCGGATCGCGGGCCTGCTGCGCCGCCAATATTTGTTTAATCGACGCCGGTGCCTGATTGTAAGCTCGGTAATTCGATTGCTGCGCTTGTCTCCGCTCACGAACATGATCTGAAAATAATCGAGAAAAATCGCAAAGTTCTGTTGTAGAATAAAACAATCGGAAAAAAATTATTTTATGTTCATTTTGAATTTTGATGAAAATGAAAAAAATTTATTTTATTCTTACCGTGGAATTCCGTTCCTAGCACAGGCACTATGGCTAGTATCAGGCACTGGAAAATGATAAAAAAATGTGCAATGATAACACTCTCTCACGTCTTACATATAATATACATATAATATTAATGTATATTTCTTATAAGTTTCTCAAAAAATAATTCGGGAGAAAGTGCGCGATTCTTCATACATTTTTTTCATGTGGCAAGGCTATTCTAGAAAGCTGAAATATTCTTAATTAATGCGATGCAAATACATATTTCTCGGTCTCGATTATGATTATTATAATACACGCTATATATGATTTGTCTTGCGTGAAATGAGTCAATCGCATTAGATAACCGATAAGTTCCGCTGGATATGTCGCACTTGATATGTTCAAGATTAGCTTGATTGCGTATCGGAAAAAAATGCGGCATTTTCCAAGCGCGACAAGCGCATTTATTTATATACGGCGATGTAATAAGATGACGTTGCAATTTTACGCAATAATATTTTTTTTAAGTTTAATTATTTCGGTTTTTCGCGACTTACTCCGATAAAACATATTGAATTTTTATATAAGTTTTCTCGCGCGTAAAAGAACACAAAGAAAACGATCATTTCGTCTAACGTATATGAGCGAACACTTATGCGAGATAAAACAAAAGAAACAACTCAATGAACGAATCCCAGAAAGCACGCAATTTTTTTTCACTCCGCATCGCGTCTTTCTTTTTTCGCGGAACAAATAAAATCGCAACGATTTTATAATCAGCGAGATTGGAAAGCGAAAGAGAGCGTTATCGGGGCGATTCCGCGCGAAAGAATTTTTACTCGTGCACTTTCTCCCCGTACCGGGCGAGACTCTAAAAAAAAGGTCCGCGATCGATCGGGGAGCGCGATCCCGAAGAACTTACGAGGAATCTCATGATGCTGAATATATTGTTATTCAGAGGACGACCGGACAAAACTAGCGGCCGCGTCGCGACGCACTTCTATATGGGGCCCAAGCGAACCTCGTCGTCGGCCACCACCAACTTTCATGGTTGGTCGAGTTTCGAGTGATTTTTTTCGCGTGCAGGTCTCCCGCCCGTTGGTCACGTAATCCAATGCAGCGAACCAACGCGTCCTGTGCATTTGCGGAGCGAGCTAGGAAGTGACCGGTAAGGTGGCATTAGAAAAGTACGGCGCGTGCGTGCGAGTTCATTGCCTTTGCACAAAGCACTTTTGTAGAGAACTACAGAATAGGAGGAAGTTAGCTTGCTCGCGCAAAGCTAACAATTTGAAAAACGAAAGCGTCGAAGTATTGTAATAAAGTTGAAAAAAAAATTAATTCAACATATGCGTTTATACGAAAGACAGAGATGTCCAGCGTGCTATCTTTTTCTTTTTAACTTGGAATTTAATCTCGCGCAACATGATTATGTAATTTTTTATATTATATCATCAATTGTGGCGATAGCGTTGCATGGAAGTAGTTTTTTACCCGTGTTTTTTTCTCTTGCAATCTCAATTCTGAATCTCAAAATTTAATACGAAATTTTGCGTTGCTTTAGCGAGTAGCTGAATATTATTTATAAGTAAACTGGAACTTTGTATTATGTCATAGATTATTCTAACCGCGTGAAAGTTGTTCGGTGTGTATACATTTCTTTACAGACTACGTATAGATATATGTATCAATAGGAATTTTACTGATATAATTATATATCTCAATTGTGTTTCGTCATTATAGAAAATATTTATAAAAAAACATTTACAAACAAAAGAGTTAATTTTCAGAACTTTATATCAGTGTCTCTCTCTCTCTCTCTCTCTCTCTCTCACTTGCAATTTACTAATCTTTTTAATAATTATGTAAAGATATGCGTATACAGCTTCAAGAATTTTTAATAAACAAAGGTATTATGGCAATTGAAGCAAACACGGATGTCGATGTGTGAATAGTTGAATCAATTTATTGAAACTTAGTGCAAAACGTTTTCGACCTTGTCTTTAGGTCTTTCTCAATGCATTTCTACAATTATAAAATTAATGTACAATCCAATTAATAAAATTTTAAAAAATTAAAAAAACGCAGAGTAAATATATTACATAAATGTCACTTACAAAATACTGTAGTAAAATACGTCGCACGGTGCTGTCCGTCAAAAATGTTCAAGTCGCACACGCAGACCCGACCAACACTCTACAAATGGAATAACGCGACTTGTAAAGTGTTGGTCGGGTCTGCGTGTGCGACTTGAACATTATTGACAGCACTGTGCGACGTATTTTACTACAGTATTTTGTAAGTAACATTTTTATAATATATTTACTCTGCGTTTAAAAAATTTTTTTTAATTTTATTAATTGGATTGTACATTAATTTTATAATTGTAGAGATGCATTGAGAAAGACCTAAAGACAAGGTCGAAAACGTTTTGCACTAAGTTTCAATAAATTGATTCAACTATTCACACATCCGTGTTTGCTTCAATTGTCATAATACCTTTGTTTATTAAAAATTCTTGAAGCTATATACATATATCTTTACATAATTATTAAAAAGATTAGTAAATTGCAAGTGAGAGAGAGAGAGACTGATATAAAGTTCTGAAAATTAATTTCAATTGCCATAATACCTTTGCTTCTTAATAATGTCTACTTCTTAATAATGTTTTACATTTTTGCGCGATCACAAATTGTACTGCGATCGCACATTTATAAGAATGAAAAAGTCTCTCAATTTATCTCTCCTTCATGAATGTATAGTACGATATGTATTACTTGTAACTCGATATTCGCGTGGCATTTAACAAAATTGTTATTATATCAGTAAAAAAACGTGGTATTTTATATGTTTGAGAGGACGTTAATAAATACCAGAAGGAAAAGTTGATAACACGTGTACAGTACGTTCGGTCACACGTAACGGTAAAACTGAAATGTTGGTGAAGGAAATGTACGTTGTGTGCGCGCACCGCTTCCGTGGTCGCTCTAAGCCAGTGCGCTCATAAATTGAATGCCGTTTAAGTGCATTACTGCAGCGTAAAGAAGAAACACGCGGTACGCATATTTTAAGTATATTATAATATAGCGATAGGAGCGGTAATTGCACTTTATAAAATATATAAATACACTTTTTATGCGCAATTATATTAAATTAATATATCATCAAGCGACTTTTGTAAATTTTTACAGTTACCAACTATTTATTGAGACACGTACACAAACTTGTTTCTATAATTTAATTAAATTTGTTATTTTCTTGTTTTTTAAATTTGTTATTTTGTTATTTGTTATTAAATTTGTATATTAGAATAAAAGTTTACAAAACAAAATTATCTATTTTTTTATAAGAATTCTCTACGATATTTAAACGACAATCTCGAAATATATCTGCTTTGTGAAAAGTATTGAAGTAAAAAATTAAGTATATTAACCGCAAGGCAAAAATTTGCAAAAGTGAATTGGCCACTTTGATTCGATATGTGAGAATGGCTCGCGATTATTACGTATCTCGATTCTAATGCTGATCATATACTTACATGTATTTATGCGCCACACGATTGCGCAAGGGAAATTCCGCTTTCGACATTTCTAAATTGCTCCACATATTTAACACTATATTTAGCGTACGTATTCTTAATTACCCAATGAATTCAAGCGTGCTTTAATTATGCAAATCCGACTAGGTGATAGTAATAACTTGTATAATTTACAATGTATGAGAGAAATTGTGAAGTAAGCGTGTAAAAGTTAAGAAACAGATAAAATATAATTATCGCGCTTCAAAATTTTTAACTCTTATATTCTAAAAATTAATATAAATATAGTAGATACACACACACACATAGCAAATTGAAATCTAAAAAAAACAGAACTGTCGAAAGGATGTATATTTGTAAATATATTATATTTTATTCAAAAACGTATGAGTATAAAAACCTATAAAAAATAGATAAAACTATAATATACATTCACATATACATGTAACACTCTTCGCACACATTTATTAGAAATTTCAAATATGCATTTATGTGCGCATTAATTAATTAATGTGCACATTAATTTTGTTTGATTAATTTTGTTATTTCGTTCCGTTGCACACAAATACTACGAAAAAAAATCGAGTTTTTTGAACAGTATTTGCGATCTTTCTCGACCTCGGTACGTCGAAATTTCCGCGGTTGCACACGGAAAACTCCGCGGTAAGAATTTACTTTCTCAATTGCAGGTTTTGCATAGAATTGAAGGCCGCAATAGAATGCGTTTACAAAAAACATCAGTCGAATATAAAGGTGAAGTGTACAATAACTATATATCATCACAATTTCAAGTTTTAACATAAAAAATTGATGAAAAGTAAAAAAAAAATATAGACATATATTCGTCTTGTATAATATTTAACTCAAAAAAAAAAAAAAAACACTCTATGCAGTGACTCGTATCGCATTAATTATCGCAGATGTTTATTATTTAAACATAATAATTAAATAAATCATTTTATCTCGTCGTCCTTGCTCCACCGACCGAAACGAATAAAAAGCAATGACGAGCACTTAGCCAAACTGATCAATATTGATTCTCGGTAACTGGTCGCACTCCAGGATGATTGTAGCCTGGTTGCGGATTGTAGCCTGGCTGCGGATTGTAGTCCGGCTGAGGATTGTAACCGGCGATGCGAGCCTGAGTGTACGCGCTAGCCTGAGCCTCGAAGGCACCACCTTGACCTTGGTATTGAGCTTGCTGGGGTATAGGTTGTTGGATAGGTTGTTGCTGCTGCGGCGGGTCTACTCGATGCGGCACGTATGGTTTTTCCGGACGGTACACGATCTGATTGGCGGTGATTTGATGAGGTATCTCTGCTTGGTATCTCAGCAGTTCGAGCAGGTGAGACGGCAGGTTAGGTGAGTAGTTCGGTTGTTGCTCCGCAGGCGGCTGGGACGCTCTGTGATATTGCGGCTGCTGCGGACGCGCCTCTCGCCTGTTCCTGGAGTGACCGCGCGATTTCTGACGAGGTTCGGGAGCAGGAGCAGGTCCGGGTGGTGGTTGCGACACCAAGTTTCGGAGATGTTCCCGTACTTGTTCGGCCTGAGCTCGTATCGCCGCCTCCTCGTCAAACCTGTTAATTGATCGTAAATTAAAATTGCATATTTTAATTAATTCGTGCGCGGCACAATACAAAAAATATTATATTTATAAATTTTTCATCTTTTCAAATGTAGAATATTTGAAACGATTAATTAGATTAAAACAATGATTTTAACAAAATCATCAAAGATATTAATGATGTAATTAATTACACATGATCTCTATTGTTTTGATATACCTGTATGGTTCCGGAATGATGTTGATATACGGAATCTGCTGCTGGAACTGGAGCAGCTGCTGGATCTGTGGTGGCGCGTCACCGTAACGCTTGTAATTCGGTACGGGATCTACCGGTTGTTGTTGTTGCGCTTGCACCCGTTGCGGACGATGCGCTCGCTGTCGGGGTGCGGCTTGCGGAATTGGTGCCGCGGCTTGTGCTGCGTATCGCGGTGCCGCAGCTTGCTCCGCGTATTGCGGTGCCGCTTGTGCCGGTTGACGGTCATACGATCTCCAGTTTACTCTGTAACCTTTCGGTATGTTTATAACAAAAATTAATTTTATGCACGTCAAACAATATGCGACAAGAGTTTAGAAAATAATTCTGGCAAACTAATACCGCTTGGATCGTTGTACTCAAGCGCTTTCGCGTTAACTTGATTGGCATTGTACGTTCCCTGATTGGCATCATACGCTCCCTGATTGGCATCGTACGCTCCATGAATTACGGGCTGTTCGTGAACCGGCGGTTGTACATTGAACGTGGCCGCTCCACCATCGGAAGGTCCTTGAATCTGGAAATTTGAGTGTCCATCCGTAGCGCCTTGAATTCTGAAATTGCTATTACCGTCGGTCGCTCCTTGAATCGAAAAGTCTCCGGCTCCACCTCCCTCTGAAAATAAAAAAAAACGCGTAAAATTATTACGACAGGCACAAATAAATCTTTAATTTTATTTATCTTCCGTCGTGTGTGATATATTTGAATTCAGACAATATAAATAATATTATATACTTTTTTTAATTGTTTTATATTTTATTTACAACAACATACTCTCGTTATTCGTTATTTTGGTTTCCATAACTTTATCGGTAACAAAAAACTCTCATATTGTTTACAAATATACTAAAAAAAAAAAGCAATTTTTTACATCAATGGCAAGATACAAATTGTTTCGTTCATTTTTCTGTTCGCGAGCCGCATTGTTGATCGCTTATCCACACTCTTACCGCTTGCATCTGTGTACTCGATTCCTTTCTCCTCGCTGAACTTCAGACCCTGAGCCCGTCGATGCCCGTCACTAGGTCCCTGAATTGAAAATTCAGCCAGGCACAAGGGAAGTGCCGTTAGCAGTAAAATCTATAACGTATATAATTTACCGCTTAACACACAATTTTAATAAAAAAAAAAAAAAGAGATTAGAATCTATTAATTGTATTACAAATGTTTGTCGTGTGTTCCCGAGCGCAATTTCACAACCAAAGAATCATTATCTAACGCACGTGGTGCTAAAACCTGAATCTGTCTTTATGGTATGTTCTATGTTACATATATGGAAGCGTATATCGAGCTACTGGCAAACGGGAAGCTGGAAGAGAAAGTGAGCGCATGAATCTTTAATTAGCCGGTAGTCGAAGTAATCGGAAAAGGTGAGCGTGTTACCGCTTGTAACACTCGCGAAGCGCACTCGAGCTGCACCGCGGTCACAGAACAAAAAAAAAAAAGCAAGAGCGCAATAAGAAAGAACAAAAATTAAATGTTAGTTGTTAGGCGTGAATGAGGAGATCGAAAATCGTACAGTTTACACGGCGTTGCCCGCTAGAAAGTAAAGTTTTTTTTAAATTAAATAGTCTATAGACACGCCCCCGGCACAATTGTTTGAAAAAAAAGGCCTTGCAACTTGCAATTCGTTCAGAAAAGATATCTCCGAACCGGTTATCACGAAATACCGCGCGACAAATTCTGCGTAAATTGTATCTCGCGCGGAACGCGGAACGCGAGCAACATTTCGCGGGATACAAATTGCGACATGCACGCTGGTTATTGAAGTCTGCGAGTTTTCGTCGTATGGTACAAAGATATAATATATATAATAGAAAATTGTATATAATATATAATAGAAAATTGTACAAGAATTATATAATAATATACATGAAAAAAAGTGTGTGTGACAAAGACATCAATAGTAAAAAGACGATTGCAAAATAAAATTATATAATTGACTTAACACAGATTATAAAATATATAAATTATAACATTTAATATATAAAATAATATAATAATATTTAATATATATAAAATATATAAATTATAACGCTCCGTGGTTATAAAATTGACTCTTTAAATTTTTTTTCATTCGCGTTCTCACATATTTTTAATTAAAACGGTTTTTAAAGAAGAAAATAATAGAAGTTCAACAAAAAACAAACTACTTTCCGTACATTAGAATTGGAATTCGCAAGTTTGCGAGGTTGAAAAAATTCTGCGGTTAATAATTGCATACCTCGCGTGAAATATTCCCGGTCGGTGACTGCGACTAATTAAGTAGCGTTCTTTTTCCGAATCGCGTTGCTTCGCAATATTCCTGTACAATTAAGCGCACGACATTTGTCATTTTCTTTCTGCACGCTCACACTGCTCTCATTAGTATCCAAACGGAAAACGGTAGTCAATATCTCAAAACACAAAAACAAGCTATTTCCTGCTTTCGAGACTTGCGCGAATAAAATCTCACTTTTATTCAAGTATAATTGGAGCGGAGTTAAGGTAAAGAATAATCTATAAGTTAATTTTACAATAAAACGCATATAATTTCATGGCTCTAGAAAATAAATTAAAGAAAGAATGATAATTATGTGAAGCACTCCTACACACATACATGCGATAAAATATCAAAATAGCATATTGAAATGCAATTAAGAACACACACGAAGTTTGAAACATTGTTCCGTACTTTTTCTAGATTTTGAAAGGATTATCGAAGCACACGAGAGATTATTCACGAGATAAACACAATGCATCAAAGATATATTTGTGGGAGTTTTTTTACAATGCGGAAAAGTATTAAAAAAAAAGAGCGTAAAGTAACAAATGCTGCGATCAGTTTCATACATATATATATATATATATATGTATATGTATACTCACGCAGTAATTATCATATATACTTTATCGATCATACAACTTATATATCCCGTAAAATTAAACACATAATTAAGCACACGCGATTCAATTTTACCTACTTTGCTCGTCGAAAGAAAACACGCGACAAGTGTTGTACGTAATTGCACTATATTTTCGAGTTTCTCGAGATGTGACGCTAAAATTCTTAAAATTAGAAAAATCAACAAGACAATCGTGAAAAACTTACGTGCAATTTCATGCCGAGAAAGCTGGTCGTCGATTCGTTCGAGGGTGGAGTGTATCTGAGACGGGCGCGCGGCCACCAGAACAACTTTATAGGCGGCCACGTAAAAGGAACCTTCGAGCGACGGGGATGTGACTCGGTGAGAGCCACCTCCATCTTGCATCTCAGCTGCTGGCTGATACCACAGAGTCAATGTCCTTTTTATAAAGTAACATTAAGTGCTAAAAAAAATTCTCTCGCGCTACTTATCATTTTGATGTTCTATTTACTAATATCATATCCCCTCATGATACAACGATTTTAAATTATCTAATTAACTACTTTTTTTATTTTATATTTTTTTCTTTATCTACACCGAAAAAATTGTATTCTTATTTTGAGGATATCCCACTTACTTTAAGTATATTTTATACTTAAAATAGGCGCCAAGAAGAGTTTCTTATTTTAAGAGGAAAATCCTCTAAATAGTAATATTGATAAGAATATATACTGATTAGAATATAA